TCTTTGATTGCTCCAAAAGCTGCTATTTTAGCAAACGATGCTGTGGATGGTTTATCCTCATCAGGGACAAAAGCTGAGGACTGGACAGCATTGATAAATGATGATAAAAGTTTGTCTAATCTAACAGCAAAGGCACTCAACGATTCATTAGTCATGGGTGTAGCATTCACTAGTTCCCTAAGAACGACATATGGATCAGCTGTTTTTACTGGTACAGTGGACCCCCGCATACCGTTGGCATCACATAACGTTTAATCCGCATACCGATACATTTTATCGCTAAAATTTTGCCTCGCATACCGCTTAAAAACCCGCTCACCGCTGTTCGTCCGAGATGCGTCCAATGTGCGCCTTAGCCAGCCTCACATGTTCCGCCGGTGGCATTGTTTACCAGCCAGCCCCCGCGGTAGCATCCAAGCATACAATCGTAACATTTCGTATTATTACAGTGTTTTTGGTGATTTTATCTGGAAAATAAGTGACCATGGGCCCCAAGAAAGCTTCTAGTGCCAACCCTACAGCAATAAGGGTGAGAATTACTATAGAGATGAAGAAAAAGATCATTGATAAGTATGAAAGTGGAGTGCGTGTCTCCGAGCTGGCCAGGTTGTATAATAAACCCCAATCAACCATCGCTACTATTGGTGGTACAGCTGCTGCTGCTGCACTGTCAGCTGCTGCTTCTGCTGTAGCATCATCTGCTGTTGCTGTAGCACTGTCAGCTGCTGCTGCTGCTGTAGCATCATCTGCTGCTGCTGTAGCATCGTCTGCTGCTGCTGCTGCTCTGCTGTAGCATCGTCTGCTGCTGCGTAGCATCGTCTGCTGCTGCTGTAGCATCGTCTGCTGCTGCTGTAGCATCGTCTGCTGCTGCTGCTGCTGTAGCATCGTCTGTTGCTGCTGTAGCATCGTCTGCTGCTGCTGTAGCATCGTCTGTTGCTGCTGTAGCATCGTCTGTTGCTGCTGTAACCACCGTCAGCTGCTGCTGCTGCTGTAGCACCGTTGTTGGTGTGGCTTATTGAGAATACCAAGAAACAATTAACCCCAGAGGATTTGCCACTCAGGATAACCCAAAAAAGTCAGTGTCTTCGAAGACTGTCTAACTTATTTCCATTGGGGTCCTTAATCTTGTCTCCCAGGATGCAACCCACACCAGTCGACTAACACCCAGGTGAACAGGGAAAATGCCTGGAACTAGTGCTCATATTGGTGAATTTAAAGCCAGCAAAGGTTGGTTTGAGAGATTTAAGAATCGTAGTGACATACACAGTGTGATAAGGCATGTTCTGGAAGAAAATACCAAACAGGACCTACAGTACTCAGGAGGAAAAGGCACTCCCAGGACACAGTGTCTCATCAGTCATTGCTGCATCTTCAATAAAGGTAAGTGTCATTTATTCTTCATTTAGTAGACTAGTACATGCACAATATATACTGTGCATGTACTACTCTACTATTGTGCATGTATCCTTCTCTTTGTGTGTAGGAAAATGTATATTTCACGTGGTAAATTTTTTTTTTTCATACTTTTGGGTGTCTTGCATGGATTAATTTGATTTCCATTATTTCTTATGGGGAAAATTCATTCGCATACCGATTATTTCGCATACCAATGAGCCCTCTTGCACAGATTAAAATCGGTATGCGGGGGTCCACTGTACGAGGAAAGAACGAATCAGTTCCTCATATTGTGACCACTTAGTAAGATTCCTGAAGTCTCGCATATCAAGGAGATCAACAACGTGAACAGCAGCAGGGGATCAATGAAGAGCTTCTTTCGCAAGTCTGATAAGACTTTCCTCTGAAGGAGGACCTTCAACTAGAGCATTAACACGAGAACGAATGGCAGTAAACCATGCTTCAAGACTATGTACATGGCCATTGAATAAAGGTAACGCATCAAGGGAATCACGAGTAAAACTATAGTATCTCAGTGTCTGGGTCGGTCTGTCAGTCGCTAAGGAACTGTGAGGACTGATGACAGGAGCAGCAGTAGCCTGAGAGGTCTGAGTGTCGACATTCACTAAAGTATCACTTGACGGTATGTGAGACATAATGGCAAAGAAGTTGCACAAGAATAAATAAGGCAAAAATAATGAACAATAAAAATGATACAAAATGTTAAAATTAAAAGAGATGCAACTAATTCTGCAGAAGTAAATAAAAAAAAATGTCTAAGATCCACTGCAAGAGGAAGGACAACTCAATGTAAAGGACTGTTGGACAAGATAAAAAAAATTACATTTACAAGTAAAAAATATTACTAGAGACTGAATTAAATGCAAAAGGAGCTGTCTGTACTCTTGCTAATAAAGAAATTAACTAATTCTTGCTAATAAAGAAATTAACTAATAAAACTGTAAATTAATGTAAAAAGTATAAAATAAAATCACTAAATTGTATGCAACGAGAGATAACTGGGAAATTTAAATATTTTCTAAGAATGCATAAACAAAATTAAAATATAATGCAAAGACAACATGAGGAAAAATAATAAAATGAAAAACAAGATGCAATAATGAACTGAGAATAATAATGCATAAAAATATCAATAAAAGAAAATAATTCACTGCAGAACAAGTGCAACAAAATAAGACGCAGAAATAATCAATGCAGTAATAAAAGTTACACTGGGAAAATGTTGGTTAAATAATAAAATAAAAATATGAAGAAGCACTGATTGAACACTTTAACTCTTAATTGTAAATTAGACAAAACAATTTACTCAGAGTAAAGAAAACACTTTACGTTAAAAAAGAAATTGAAATTACACTAAGAGTGAATTTGTTCAAAGAAATATGAAAAATATGAATGAAAATAAAACAAGAAACAAAACTGGAAGTGTAACACTTACAAGTGGCGGGGCACACAACACTTACAAGTGGTGGGGCGCACAACACTTACAAGTGGCGGGGCACACACAAAATATTCACTTATTCATTTTTTTTTTAGTATATTCTTACAACAAAATCTTGCTGTGACTGATACGACAAAAATTGCTGGCAAAAAATAATGGTAGACAAGTCTGCGAAAAGATCAGGGAATGAGACACTGCTGGTGTATGAAAAAAAGACACACATAGAAATAAATGGATAATTTGGTATACGACAAATACTGGAGAATACAATGCTGAAAGAATACAAAAAAAAAATGAATGAATTACTTCACACGGAATGACTGACTGGTACACTACACAATAATACTTACTACAGACAGAGAGTAGCATAAAAAAAAACACAGATAAAAAAATATGAGATGAGCGATAACACTGAAAAATATTGTAAAAATAATGAGTCAAAGAAACACTGAGTCTACACTGAAAACACAAGGTTTAGAGTACACAAGAAATTCACTATAAATGTCTCACACATGCGAATGTCTTTAAATGCAAGAAAAATGTCTCTAAACAGAAAATTCACTGGAGTCTGGAGTAGTAGACGGGATGACTGGTGATGAGGGGAAGACGTCCTGTGCGGTGATGACGCCTCCGACACTCACACTGTCGTTGGAAGGAATGCGCTTTCTAGGTGAACTCACATAACTGGCTTTATCGTTGGTGCTCAGCTACAATCTCTTGACCAATTATGTGAGCCCAAAACAGTTCTAGGACCCGGTACAAGGGTGCAAACAGCCACAGGTAGATGAGGTGGATAGTGGCGGGTGGTGGTGGAGGGCAGCGGAACAAGCTGGCCCTGTGCGCTCTCACTGCCACGCACTTCTCACCACGCAAAAGGTGGCTTAACTAAATCACAATGCCACAGGGATGATGAAGACCACTCTTACCAGCATCCAAGCACAAGCGATATATGAAATAATACTTCAGAGGAACTTGCATGGCTTACTTCTCTCTCTCAGCTGGGTTAGAAGCTGGGTTGACTGACTGGCTTAACCCACGAGAATGGCTGACGAAGATGTGTAACGATGCACACAGCATGAAGGAACAGGTGGATGACAGGAGACAGGCTGGATGGTAGGCTGAGGCAGGCTGACTAGCGTTCACTTCCACAGTCTGGCTTACTGACTGGCTTAATTGCAAAATCCGGGTCAACCCCTCGGAGATTGAAGCAATTAGCACACGAACTAAGCCAGGAAGCTTGAAAATCGGCTGCAACAGGCTTGCAGGCTGGAGTACACAGGGTGGTGTGCTGAGGGTAAGCTGCTAGCTGGAGGTGGCGGATGGTTCACCTTTGACCTGCCAGCTCCCCACAAACAGTCTTCTAACGTCTTGAAATACCCTTAAATCCACGCCCACACCGGTGCCACCATTTGTCATGTGGGTTTTTCGATACGTGGATAGGGTAAGAATACTCACGTAGGCTGGTAGTACGTATAATATATAACGGGAAGTGTGGAAAGTGCCAACAGCCGTCCTGCCTCTCTCTGCTCCCTAGCCTGACTGACCCATGAGTGCCCACGGGTGAGGATGTTTGAAATCCTGCTATGGTCAGCAGCAATATGAATACAGTCAATGATTCACACAGACGGTTGGTAGTGAGTCATCTACTGGTACACTGGTTACTGGTAACTAGTTACTAGGAACTGGTACTACTACTGAGATATGGTACAAATGTACCATATGGTACCATTGTACCATATGGTACAATAGTACCATATGGTTCAAAACCATAGAATTCCTCTTCAGATCCACTTCCATCAGTCTTAGAACTGTAAGTTGTGAAGAGGAGAGTCAGAATTCGCCTGGGGAGTGAGAGCTTACTTGCCGCCAGGCATGATGAACAAAGCACTTTGGCGGCGTTCCCACAATGCCATGCAGGCGTCCAGATTTTTTCTATAGAGCGCACACTGATCACCCAGACCCATTCTCTCAGATGTAGGCCTATCAGTGCTAAATTTGACGCGGCTAGAATTTTGGCGTAGATCTACAGTTTGGACCCTCAACATAAAGCCGTAGATCTACGGCATGGGCCCTGAAAGGATTAAAATATGCATCAAATTATAACCATAATCTGTTCTTTTTCTGTACTGTATAAAAAAAGTCTATATTTTTGGACAGATTTTTAATGATTTATTTTTTTTTAATTACAGTACAACATATACATTTTTGGGTAAAATCCACATAACCTATTTACATATTTTTTATAATGAATCGGGTTCATCTCCCTGTATTGTTATCTACAATAAGCACAGTTTATCCAGCAACAAGTTACTTTTCCCTTAAGTGTTAATGAATTAATTTTCACTCTACCCACTGAACGGCAGTAGCTTGAGTTAAAATATCACCTTGTCTGATACCTTAGCACAGTGTGGGGGACATTAAAAATTAATTTTTTATCAGATAGGGAGAAACTGCAACTTACACGGTCTAGAAGTCTGACAAAATGCAGATTCGCAACCTACTCAATTTAGCTAAAGAATTAAGTCACAGACTGAATAATCTAAGTAGCTTTCCTAAATAACAAATAAAAGACTTTTAAAGTGCTACAGTACTTCAGTGAATCAAATATTCATCATCAAAAGTTTTCAAAAGATTTGAGTAATAATACATTTCTCAGAAAATACATATGTAATTATTTTTAACATTTATTCATCACTAACACTACCATATTTATAAAAGTTTCCAAGTACTAGCCACTTCATAAATAATGGACAAGAACACTACTTAAGTTTGTCAAACAGGACTATTTTTTGCTGGGTCCTCCAAGGTCAGTGAGCTGCTTATGAAGGTCTCTAAGTTCCAAGTCTGGGATGTACCGCACCTGGGGAAAAATACATGCAAATCAACATCAATATGCTATACATGAAGTAAGAAATATGTGTCTGAGTGTGTAAATGGGTGGCTCATGTGTATTTTTATTATCTCTTTTCTAAATTTAAAAAAAAAAAAAAAAAAAAAAAAAAATGCTGAGAAGACTAGGTTCTTACTATCATATTTTCCTATGTACTTGTTATTTACAAGACATGTACTTTACTTTTACAGGCACAACCTTAGCTCACCAGTATTTTCTGTTTAATTACATCTGGCCAAGATAAGGCAGTCCCATCGTCACTCATTCAATAACTGACCCTTCAAGGAGAGTGTCTCAGTGTCACTGATGAGGTGTTTGTATAGGAACTGAACCCATGTTCTCCTTACTTAGATTGAACCCGACTGCCACTCATTCTCAAGATGATATATGACCACTAACAGTTTAGCACCTTGCCAAATAATTTCAAAGACACTCTGAACCATATCCCCACCATCCTTCAAACAGTATGGTATGGTAATGCATTTTATACAGTGTTTCCCTGCAATACATGAGAAAGATCCTAATCTTATTTCCTATTTAGTATGTCTGTTTTTTATTCAGAGAATATATAGTCAAACCCCCAAATTCACAAGCCTTCTAATTCATGTGCTTCTATTATACAATGTCTTATTGAAGGGTCTCCTGCAAATAGCCTTCATTATTCATTAGTTTTTATGGTACCCTTTTTTTCTCCTTGGCACAACAAATAAATATTAACCAGACTGAGTAATACTTCGAGATATGCCCAAATAACCTGCACATAGGAGAGAAGCTTATGACAATGTTTCGATGCAACTAAAACCATTTACAGTCATATAACACAAAAGAGATGTTTATGTTCATGTAGGTTTCCCGGGACAGGTTCTGGCTTGGGTCTTCTCTATGTGGTGACCCTGGCAGTGGCTCCCAAAGGAGCGTAAGAATTGGTAAAAGTGATGTACTGTTTATAGCCCTATCTACAACTTCCTGTCAAATAGAACACAAAGAGTAATAGTAAACAGAGTAAAGTCCCAGGCAGCCACAGTAAAAAACTCTGTTCCACAAGGCACAGTACTTGCTCCCATTCTATTCCTCATCCTCATTTCTGACAGAGATGTAAGCCATAGCTCCGTGTCTTCCTTTGTGGATGACACCCGGATTACCATGGCAGTGACCTCCATCAAAGACACCGCGAGACTCCAAGTGGACATCAACCAAGTCTTCGAATGGGCCACTCAAAACAATATGAAGTTCAACGAGGAGAAATTTCAACTACTCAGATATAGAAAACTTGAAGAAATTAAAAATGTGTCAGGGTATACAACAAATTCTAACCATACAATAGAGCAGAAGGACCTGGGAGTGATAATGTCAGAGGATCTTGCCTTCAAAGACTACAACAATGTATCTACCTCATCCACTTGGAAAATGATAGGATGGATAATGAGAACCTTCAAAACTAGGGACGCTAAGCCCATGATGATTCTCTTCAAATCGCTTGTGCTCTCTAGGCTGGAATACTGCTGTACACTAATGGCCCCCTTCAAGGCTGGCAACATTGCAGACCTGGAAAGTGTACAAAGAACTTTCACGGCACACATAAGTACAATAAGGCACCTAAACTACTGGGAATGGTTGAAAGTCCTTGATCTGTATTCCCTCGAATGCAGGCGAGAGAGATACATGATAATATACACTTGGAAGGTCCTGGAGGGATTGGTACCAAACCTACACAAGAAAATCACTTCCTATGAAAGCAAAAGACTTGGAAGGAGATGCAACATTTCCCCGATGAAAAGCAGGGGCGCCACGAGTACAGTGAGAGACAACACAATAAGTGTCTACTGCCTAAGACTGTTCAATTGCCTCCCAGCATACATAAGGGGGATTACCAATAGACCCCTGGCTGTCTTCAAGAAGGCACTGGACATGCACCTAAAGTCAGTACCTGACCAACCGGGCTGTGGTTAGTATGTCAGCTTGCGTGCGGCCAGCAGTAACAGCCTGGTTGATCAGACCCTGATACACCATGAGGCCTGGTCTGACCAGGCATGGGGCGTTGACCCCGACCTTCTCCAGGTAAATGACAAAGGCACAGCAAGCATTTGTGTCAAGTGGAGTACCATTTACAGCCCTATGGTGGGAGCAGCCCTATGCCAAGGGCACAGTGAGTCTTCTTCAGGTAAAGTGGAGTACAGCTTACAGTTCTATGGTAGAAGCAGCTCTACGACAAGGGCACGCTGATCCATCTGTGTCGCGTGGAGTCTGTTTCAGCCCTAGGCGGTGCGGCATAGCCCTACGACAAGGACATGGAGGGTCTTCCTCAGCACAAGTGGTGTAGCAGTTAGCTACAATTGTTGTCAATGCTCTGTAGTTGGGGTACAGCATGTCTTGGGTTCAAGTGGTGTCAGAGGTGGTGTTCTCACTGGTATGAAGCCTTGAACTCTTAAAAAGCTCTGCTGCACTCTAGCCACTCATGGCAACCAGGCCACAGCCCGAATGCCAGAGCGACTCAGGAAATTCTCTGAGGGAGCCAGTATATATACATATAGGCAAGGAGGACAGGGACGGGACCAACGGAGGAAGAAAAAGAAGTAGTGGTAAGGCTGGTAGTGGAATACTAGCAGAAGTAAACAATGGTAGTAGAGAGGAGGGAGAGTGGTTTAGTAGCACAAAAGAGAAAGGGAAATGAAGGGTGACGGGAGGCAATCGTAATGGTAGTGGCAAAAGAAGAAGAAATGGAGTGGAAATCATATTAGTAGTAGAAGTGGCATTAGTTTAAGGACAAGAAAAAGGAGCACTGCAGGAGAGCTAAAGGTCCACAAGGGGTAGGACCAAAAATGTGGGGAAAAACTGAAGGACAGAACATACTTTGGCAGAAGAAAGGAAAAACAAAGACAGAAAAAGGAAAAAAATAGGAAAGGAGAAGAGGTAGAGAGAGAGGAGGAGAAAAAAGATCAGGTTAAGTCACGAGTGTTCTGAAGCATTTGACAATGTAATGAAAAGGAAGGCATCTACAAAGGCAAAGCTAGGGCCAAAATTTATATAAGGAAAGCTGTTTATAAGGGATGTTTCAAGAAGACATCAACTATGAAGGTTAGAAGTAGGGTAGACAGTTTTAGCAGAGGGCCAATCAATGGCAGAGGAGAGCATTATTTGTGTCAGCAAGCTTAACACTTCTTGTATGCTCTTTGAGTCTGTTGTCAGAAAGAGCAGCCAGTATCCTATTTTTTTTCCTTTTTTCTGTCTTTGTTTTCCTTTCTTCTGCCTACATGTGTTCTGTCCTTCAGCTTCCTTCCCGTGTGTGTTTTTGGTCCTACCCCCTTTTGGGCACTTAGCTCTCCTGCAGTGCTCCTTTTTCTTGTCCTTAGGCTGACCCCACTTCTACTACTACTACTATACTATGACTCCCACTCATTTCTACTACTTTTCCCAATACCATTACTATTACCTCCCTTAACCCTTCACTTCCCTTTCTCTCTTGTGGCACTATACTCTCCCTACTTGCTACTACTACTTCCACTACCACTACTACTTTTTCTTCCTCTCTTGGTTCTGTCACTGTCCTCCTTGCCTATATATACTGGCTCCTTCTCTCTTTTGTGTTAGTGTGACTTTGTAAATGGTCCAAGTCAGATTCAAATATTGTTGTAAGCTTTCCTCTCTCCGTACAGTAGGGCCCCACTTATACGGCAGGTTAGGTTCCAGGCTACTGCCGTAAAGCGGAAATCGTCCTAAAGTGGAACACCCTTTTTTTCCACTTATAAATGCATACAAATACTAGATAACAAGTTTACACTAGCATATAATAAGTTAGCAATAGAACCAGGCATCAAAAAAAGCAATAAAAAAGTACAAGACACACATAGTGCACTCATTACTTACTTTAAAATATTTATAGTCTTAATCTAGGGTGAGACAAGTAGTATTTATTGTAAGAAATCAAGTGTGGTATGTATGGTAGTCAGCTGGGCTACCATACCAGGCCATTCCACCCACACATACCATTCTATGCTATTTAAGCATCCCAGAGCGACAAAATGTATATACAGTTCACTCATTACTTACATTAAAATATTTGTAGTCTTAATGTAGGGTCAGAAGTAAGTAAATGAGATAAAACGAATAAATGAGAGAGAGAGAGAGAGAGAGAATGAGTCCATGAGGGAGAACAGGCGCAGAGTTATGTAAACACACCAGGCGAAGGTAAGTTTTGTAAACAACAAAGTGTACACGTCTGGTTTGTGTACAAGTTACATTGTGTACAAGTTGTCTCTACATTGATACGGTAGAATAAATAAAGAATACTCCCATTCTCATGTAACATCATTTTGAGAAGAAATGACGCTCTGAGTGAAGGTAATGGAAATAAGTCACTGACTTTTTTGGGTTATCCTAGGTTCTCTACACATATGCTGTTATGTATGATAATCTATGTAATTGTATTTGTGTATACCTGAATAAACTTACATACATACGAAAGGAATAATTTTCTACAGTTACCCCCAATAACACATTTTCTCTTATGTTAGATTAGAGAAAATGTTATTCTTGCCGTCACTTGTACAAGTTATCTGGCTACGACATCTCATATTTATGTTTATTTATTCTACTATGGGGTGTATTTATCATCTTTATATGTTATGTATCATGTTTATTATATAATTTTGAAAAAAATATCATGGATGGATTAATGAAAATGTGTATATTAACATAATATACGACATTTAATGAGACTCGGTGATTATTATTATTATTATTATCATTTCTAATATGGTGTCACTTGTGCAAGGCATCTGGCAACCACATCTCATATTTCTTTCTTTCTTTCTTTCAACACACCGGCCGTATCCCACCGAGGCGGAGTGGCCCAAAAGGAAAAACGAAAGTTTTTCCTTTTACATTTAGTAATATATACAGGAGAAGGGGTTACTAGCCCCTTGCTCCCGGCATTTTAGTCACCTCTTACAACACGCATGGCTTACGGAGGAAGAATTCTGTTCCACTTCCCCAAGGAGGTAAGAGGAAATAAAGAACAAGAACTAGAAAGAAAATAGAAGAAAACCCAAAGGGGTGTGTATATACAGTGGACCCCCGGTTAACGATATTTTTTCACTCCATAAGTATGTTCAGGTGCCAGTACTGACCGAATTTATTCCCATAAGGAATATTGTGAAGTAGATTAGTTCATTTCAGACCCCCAAACATACACGTACAAACGCACTTACATAAATACACTTACATAATTGGTCGCATTCGGAGGTAATCGTTATGCGGGGGTCCACTGTATATGCTTGTACATGTATGTGTAGTGTGACCTAAGTGTAAGTAGAAGTAGCAACACACACCTGAAATCTTGCATGTGTATGAGACAGAAAAAAAAAGACACCAGCAATCCTACCATCGTGTAAAACAATTACAGGCTTCAGTTTTACACTCACTTGGCAGGACGGTAGTACCTCCCTGGGCGGTTGCTGTCTACCAACCTACTACCTAGAATATCTCATATTTTATTATTTTTTATTATTAACACACTGGCCGATTCCCACCAAGGCAGGGTGGCCCGAAAAAGAAAAACTTTCACCATCATTCACTCCATCACTGTCTTGCCAGAAGAGTGCTTTACACTACAGTTCTTAAACTGCAACATTAACACCCCTCCTTCAGAGTGCAGGCACTGTACTTCCCATCTCCAGGACTCAAGTCCGGCCTGCCGGTTTCCCTGAATCTCTTCATAAATGTTACTTTACTCACATTCCAACAGCACATCAAGTATTAAAAACCATTTGTCTCCATTCACTCCTATCAAACACGCTTACGCATGCCCGCTGGAAGTCCAAGCCCCTCGCACACAAAACCTCCTTTACCCCCTCCCTCCAACTTTTCCTAGGCCGACCCCTACCCTGCCTTCCTTCCACTACAGACTGATACATTCTTGAAGTCATTCTGTTTCGCTCCATTCTCTCTACATGTCCGAACCACCTCAACAACCCTTCCTCAGCCCTCTGAGGTGGGGTGTATTTATCATCTTTATATGTTATGCATTGTGTTTATTATATAATTTTGAAAAAATATCATAGATGGATTAATGAAAATGTGTATATTAACGTAATATACGACATTTAAATGAGACTCGGTCATTATTATTATCATTACTAATATGACGTCTGGAGACATAAGAGACTCTTACTGATTTTAATGTGTACCTGCATACCAGCGCAGTATGTAAGTTTATTTAGGTACAGGTATACACAAGTATAATTATCAGAGTATATATAAAATATGAAATAACTTTTAAAAACACTTGAAATTTTGGAGTTTCCAGACAAAATGGAGAGACTTAGTGCTTACGGATCTCACAGAGAATGTAAACAAACCGGGTGGGGCGCGGTGACCATATTAGAAAGTCAGGTGGGGGGAGCCGTATAGCGAGGTTTGGTCATAATTTGAAATGACCGTATTAGCGGAATGCCGTAAAGCGAAACGCCGTAAAGCGGGGCCCTACTGTACTGGTTATTTGTATATTGTTCCATTCATGGTATTGTGCCTTTTCATTCTTTAGATATATACCCTTTGAAATGCAAAATGAGCATATATCTGAAGAAAAAAGATACAGACAGAATTTAGAAGTACGTACTTTACTCTCTTTATGAGGGCTACTTAGAACTTAACCTTCACAAATCTGGGGATTTGACAAAATAATAATTATAAAAACTCAGGATCACAAATTATAACTGAAAAGTGGATGAAATTTCAGTCTGTCAAGTTTAAACTATCATCCAGATTTATTTCTAATTTGTTCGCTTATGATTTGTTTTGGTCAAGGTACTGTGATTCATTTTTCTAAGAATATAAAGAAATTTTTCAAATCCTGAACAAATGTATTTACATCTAAAGTATAGGAGGTTGTAGTGGCTACTTAAGCCTGCATGCCCATAGCAGCAACAGCCTGGTGAATCAGGTAGTCAACAAGTAAATCTGGTGTCAGGCCTGGCTGTGAGGGTAGACAAACCCTCAAAACTGGTTATGTCACAGGTAAAAATAAGTTGTCTGAGTCTGTACGTATAAGCAATTTAACCCCTTGACTGCCACAACCCCAAATCCTGAGGTGTCTCCTGGTGTTGAAAAAAAAAAAAAAAAAAAAAAATATATATATCTTATGAAATGATTAGAGAATCTTTTCCCGATGGTAATGACACCAAAAGAATGAAATTTAATTGAAAACTCAAGGAATTACACTCTCACGAAGTCAGCGACCTCGGTGATATTTACGAATCGCCGACTTCACCCACTGTGAGCCCTATTTTCGGTTAATTCCATTGTTCCAGTCGACCAAACTCATAGCTATTTCTTTAGAACTTCATCTGTTCTATCAATTGAATACAAGAAACAGCCCATTTACCGATTTCAACTACCCAATAACGTGGTCAGAAATTTGCAATTTTGCCAATTTCACGCAAATTAAAAAATATGCCAATTTCAAAATAGGGTCCAGAATGAACAATGCAGACATTCCTGGCTCTAAAATAACATCATCTTTGTTCATCAGTCACGTCTCCAGGCCCCTCTGACATTACTCTTGCTTTCTATTTTGAATTTTTATTCAAACAAAAAATTGAAGTTTTACTGTTATGCAGACTACTGCAATATTGTAATAATTGTATAAATAATGTCAACCCATTCATGGCTGCATATTAGAATGGCTACTTGGACATTTATTGGACAATGACATCATTGTCCAATTTCAAGGTTCTTTTCATAGTAAAACCAATCAAAATCACCTGTATTTCTATAATATGTTTTCCATTCTATCAAATGAGACCAAGAAAACAAGAATACAACCATAAATACTATACAAAAATACACTGCAAAGTTGGTGTTTTAATCCAAAAACACAGTTTTTTTTTTTTTCTCATTCTGCACTGCGTGCTGCAGGATTTTTTTTTTATATGGTGCACACTGACGACAGACCCATTCTCTCACATGTGGGCCTACCAGCTTTTTCCTGCTTGATTTGAAGCTGCTAGAATTTTTGAGTACATGTATATACATTATACGTCAAACACGGTGGCTCGTAAGACGTATATATACAACCGAAACAGTGAAAGGGTTAAAATAGCAAAAAGAGTTTTACATGAAACTAACTGACAGAAATATATTAGACAAAGTGTTGGTGATGTACCTGTGTATGCTCTGGTATATGCTCTTGAACTGTAAGCTTTACTCCTTGAGGAAGTCCTGCCTGGATTACTTCAATAAAGAGTGGAGCCATGACAGAAGTCAAATCAGCCAGCTGTCAACAGTAATGTAACACAAAATTAATTATAACACACTGCACTTCATTCCTAGTACATGTACTCTCTATCTTACTTATACTAATTACAGTATCTGTAATACTTTGCCTGTAGGGTGACCATTTTCTTTCACAAGAACTTTAACAGTATAAAAAAAACATTACACTCTTTTCCTGAATTTTGAGGATATTATTGTTTTTGTAAAACACTTATATTCAATATTTCAAATGATATCTTTGTTTTATCTTCGCCCTCCTGTTATTTTGCTAGGCAGCAATTATTTAATCTGTTGACAAAAAAAATATCTCCCTGAATATAATTCTTTCACATCAACTACTAGAAGAAGACATAGGAATACAAAAAAATAATGTGGACAGAATATAGTTAGTTGCAAGAAAATTAGTACTGTATTTCACATACACCTCACCTCTATGGATAATCACCATTAATAGTTGGCCTACATTCCATATAAATTTGGAATCAATGTTTTTGTCCTAGACTTCCATTAATAAACGGATATGCATACTCCGAAAAAAAAAAAATTGACTCACAAATTAATTCCCAATTCCTCATTTTAAATTTTAAAATTTCTTTCTCTCAAAGCAAAAAATCAAAGTGAGTAATATAAAAAAAAAAAAAATCACAAAGGAACGGGTGGATCATCGCTCACCTGTCTGTTCTTCGTACACTTGAAATTATATTCAGTTTCCATTTTTTGCAGTCTTATTTTTGTATTTTTGAATGAAAGCTTTTGGCGGCGTTGCCCAGCGGGAGAGAGGAAAGCATACCCATTAGAAACCTTAAAACATAAAAGTAAAAGAACAATGATGCAGCAGCAGCGCTAGCACACTGCACGCACACACACGCACACACAAAACCCCACACACACACACACACACCACACACCCCAACACACACACACACGCACGCACACACACACCCCCACACATGAGTGAGCTAATCCTCAAAGGCAAGGGGGGCCAGATAACTCTCCCCATGGGATTGAAGAGGGAGCAGAGGGGCTATGTGTACCCCTAACAACAATATTCAATACCATCAAAAAAAGGGGGATTGCCTGAGGCATGGAGACAGCAAATGTATCCCAATCTTTAAAAAAGGAACAGACATGAAGCATTAAACTACAGACCAGTGTCACTGACATGTATAGTATGCAAAATCATGGAGAAGATTATCAGAAGAGTGGTGGAACACCTAGAAAGCAACGATCTCACATCAGCAGCCAACATGGTTTCAGGGACGGGAAATCCTGTCATAAACCTACTGGAGTTCTATGACATGGTGACAGCAGTAAGACAAGAGAGAGAGGGGTGGGTGGATTGCATTTTCTTGGACTGCAAGAAGGCGTTTGACACAGTTCCACACAAGAGATTGGTGCAAAAACTGGAGGACCAAGCAGGGATAACAGGGAAGGCACTACAATGGATCAGGGAATACTTGTCAGGAAGACAGCAGCGAGTCATGGTACGGGGCGAGGTGTCAGAGTGGGCACCTGTGACCAGCGGGGTCCCACAGGGGTCAGTCCTAGGCCCAGTGCTGTTTCTGGTATTTGTGAACGACATGACGGAAGGAATAAAACTCTGAGGTGTCCCTGTTTGCAGATGACGTGAAGTTGATGAGAAGAATTCACTCGATCGAAGACCAGCAGAACTACAAAGGGATCTGGACAGGCTGCAGACCTGGTCCAGCAATTGGCTCCTGGAGTTCAATCCCACCAAGTGCAAAGTCATGAAGATTGGGGAAGGGCAAAGAAGACCGCAGACGGAGTACAGTCTAGGGGGCCAGAGACTACAAACCTCACTAAAGGGAAAAAAGATCTTGGGGTGAGTATAACAGCAGGCACATCTCCTGAAGCGCACATCAACCAAATAACTGCTGCAGCATATGGGCGCCTAGCAAACCTCAGAACAGCATTCCGACATCTTAATAAGGAATCATTCAGGACCCTGTACACCTGTACGTCAGGCCCATATTGGAGAAATGCGGCACCAGTTTAGAACCCACACCTAGCCAAGCACATAAAGAAACTAGAGAAAGTGCAAAGGTTTGCAACAAGACTAGTCCAGAGCTAAGAGGTATGTCCTACGAGGAGAGGTTAAGGGAAATCAACCTGACGACACTGGAGGACAGGAGAGATAGGGGGGACATGATAACGACATACAAAAATACTGAGAGGAATTGACAAGGTGGACAAAGACAGGATGTTCCAGAGATTGGACACAGTAACAAGGGGACACAGTTGGAAGCTGAAGAAACAGATGAATCACAGGGATGTTAGGAAGTATTTCTTCAGCCACAGAGTAGTCAGTAAGTGGAATAGTTTGGGAAGCGATGTAGTGGAGGCAGGATCCATACATAGCTTTAAGCAGAGGTATGATAAAGCTCACGGCTCAGGGAGAGTGACCTAGTAGCGATCAGTGAAGAGGCGGGGCCAGGAGCTCGGACTCGACCCCCGCAACCTCAAATAGGTGAGTACAACTAGGTGAGTACACACACACACACACACACACACACACACACACACACACACACACAACACACACACACACACACACACACACACACACACACACACACACACACCGAGGAGGAGGTGAAGAAGCTGTTAAGTGAACTTGATAGCTAAAAGCTGGTGGGACTGGACATCTCTTCGTGGGTCCTTAGAGAGGGAGTAGAGATGCTGTGCATGCCACTAACAACAATTTTCAACACATCCACTGAATCTAGGCTGTATCTAGGCAGCTACCCGAAGTATGGAAGACGGCAAATGTAGTCTCCATTTTTAAGAAAGGAGACAGACACGAGGCACTAAACTACAGACCAGTGTCACTGACGTGTTAGTATGCAAAGTGATGGAGAAGATTATCAGAAGGAGAGTGGTGGAGCACCTAGAACAGGACAAGCTTATAAACAACAACCAGCACAGATTCAGGGAAAGAAATCCTGTGTCACAAATGTACTGGAGTTTTATGACAAGGTAATGGAAGTAAGACACGAGAGAGAGGGGTGGGTAGATTGCATTTTCTTGGACTACAAGTAGTCCTTCGACACTGTCCCTCACAAGTGATTATTACAAAAGATGGAGAACCAGGCATGCATAACAGGAAGGGCACTGCAATAGATCAGGGAGTACCTGACAGGGAGGCAACAATGAGTCATGGTACATGACGAGATGTCAGAGTGGGCGCCTGCGACGAGCAGGATTCCACAGGGGTCAGTCCTAGGACCAGTGCTGTTTTTGGTATATGTGAATGACATGATGGAAAGGATAAACTCAGAAGTGTTCCTGTTTGTGCATGATGTGAAGTTAATGATGAGAATTAAATAAGATGAGGATCAGACAGAACTACAAAGAGACCTTGACAGGTTGCAAGCCTGGTCCAGCAACTGGGTCCTTGAATTTAACCCTGCCAAATGCAAAGTCATGAAGATGGGGAAGGACAAAGAAGACCGCAGACAGAGTACAGGCTAGGTGGCCAAAGACTGCAAACCTCACTCAGTGAAAAGGATCTGGGGGTGAGTATAATACCAAGCACATCTCCTGAGGTGCATATCAACCAGATAACTGATGCAGCATATGGGAGCCTGGCAAACCTGAGAATAGCATTCTGATACCTCAGTAGGAATCGTTCAGGACTCTGTACACCATGTACGTCAGGCCCATACTGGAGTATGCAGCATCAGTTTGGAACCCGCACCTGGTCAAGCATGTCAAGAAATTAGAGAAAATGCAAAGGTTTGCAACAACACTAGTTCCAGAGCTAAGGGGAATGCCCTACGAAGAAATGTTAAGGGAAATCAGCCTGATGACACTGGAGGACAGGAGGGTCAGGGGAGACATGATAATGACATACAAAATATTGTGAGGAATTGACAGGGTGGACAGAGACAGGATGTTCCAGAGTTGGGACACAAAAACAAGGGGTCACAATTGGAAGTTGATGACTCGGAGATGAGTCAAAGAGATGTAAAGAAGTATTTCTTCAGCCACAGAGTTGTCAGGGAGTGAAATATTCTCTATCATTTCATAAGAAATTTTTTTTTTTTTTTTTTTGGAAATTTTGCAACACCAGGAGACACCTCAGGATTTGGGGTTGCGACAGTCAAGGGGTTAATACGCCAAAATTCTAGTGGCTTCAAATCAAGCAGGAGAAAGCTGGTAGACCCACATGTGAGAGAATGGGTCTGTGTGGTCAGTGTGTGCAGTATAAAAAGAATCCTGCAGCACACAGTGCATAATGAGAAAAAAAAAAAAAACGGCCGTGTTTTTGGATTAAAACACTGACTTTGAGGTGTATTTTCTTATAGCATTTAGGGTTGTATTCTCGTTTTCTTGGTCACATTTGACAGAATGGAAGACATATTACAAAAACAGAGATGATTTTGATTGGTTCCACGATGAAAAGGATCTTGAAATTGAGCTCCAATTAGTGGAAATGTTTGATTTTTGCCGATGTTCAAGAGTAAACAAATGACATCACCATCCAATAAGTGTCCAACTAGCCATTCTAATATGCAGTCACGAATAGGTTGACATTATTTTTACAATTATTACAATAATGCAGTAGTCTGCCTAACAGACTTTGTGTGAATAAAAATTCATAATACAAAGCAAGAGTAATAAAAGAGGGGCTTGGAGATGTGACTATTGAACAGAGAAAATGTTATTTTAGTGCTAGGAATGTTTGCATTGTTTATTCTGGATCCTATTTTGAAATTGGTATCTTTTTTAATTTGCATGAAACTGGCCAAATTGCCAATTTCTGACCGCTTTATTGGGTAGTTGAAATCGGTAAATGGGCAGTTTCTTGTACTCAATCGATAGAACAAATGGAGTTCTAAAGAAATAGCTATGAGTTTTGTCGACAGGAACAATGGAATTGGCCAAAAATAGGGCTCAAATTGGGCGAAATTGCCAATGCGTATACACAGCCAAGATTAGCTAACTTCGTGAGAGCATAATTCCATAAGTTTTCCATCAAATTTCACACTTTTGGTGTCATTACCATCAGAAAAAGATTATCATTTCATAAGAAAAAATAATTTTTTTTTCCCGAATGTTTTGCGACAGGATTTGGGGTCTCGACAGTCAAAGGGTTAAAGTAAAAAAAAATGCCAACATTGAAAATGTGAAGAAGGCTACTTACAAAGATTGTCATCAGATCATCCAGAACACTGATTTTCTGAAGGGTTATGTCAAAGCAATATAACCGAAAATTTGGACATAAGGCAAGTAGCTGCAAAATTTGTACCCTGCTTGCTGACTCAAGACCAGAAAAACCTTCATTCCCCACTCTCCCTACTCCCCAAAGCTAGCCCCCTGTGACTTCTTTCTCTTTTCAAAAATAAAAATAGCACCCAAGGGGCAGCATTTTTAATGATGTAGAAGATTCAAACAGAATTGCAAGCCGCGCTTGATAGCATTAGGAAAGAAGTGTTCCAGAAATGTTTCAAGAAGTGGCAGAGGCGTTGGGATCAGTGTACAGCCTCTTCAAGGGAGACAACCTCAACTGGTGATTAGGTAATCTTTCTGCCAGTTCCATACCCTGTTTGCTTGTAGGGAAACTGGCGATGGAACAACAGGCCCTGGTTTCATTATTCACTCATTCTAGCAAAGCAGTTTTACCCAAGATGTACTGAATGGGCCCATCCGGTCTTGGATTTTTTCAAATGCACAAAGAAGTTGTAGGAGATCAAGAATATTGGCAGGTGAGGTATGTGAATGCCTGAAAAATTGTGGATGCTGGTACATCTGACATATCCTCGTTACCTGTGAAATACTACATTGACCACAGTTAAGAGGTTAAATACTGTATAATATCGAGGTAGGGTAAACGGGACTTGTAAAGTTCTGTGCTCGTATTTGCCAAGTGGCCACTTTTTTTTTTTTTTAAGCCAGTACCATGTTAATAATTTTGTAAAACAAAATTACCTGATAAGGATGCTTCCAAAAAGAGTACTGTAAAGAATTCTGATACTTACCAAAGGCTTTTTAAGTTAATACATATCTGCAATTTCATTTTTTTTGGCAATGGAGGTAAATTTTAAACAAAAGCTGAATATAAGTATTGCTTCATTTATTTAATTTCTAAAATTGGTACAAATACATACAGCAATTCTTAATGGTTTTGTTCATTAGTACCACATTAAAATTTTCTAAATTACTATGCTAGTAAAAGGTAAATGTATACATTCTGTACCAAATCTGTAGTAATGTACCGTACATTGATGGGGATTGAGAACACTGTAGAGGCATTAAAACTTTGATGAATGCAGAAATTATTCATCTATGATACATGTACATGATATATAATTACATTTCCTACATGTATGAAATGCAATTCGCTTATTCTTTACACTTTGCGTATTGAGGTAACAACATTGACACGACAAAATAACCTGCTTATTTTGGGAAATACGAAAAATTTTGATGATTCAATAACTAAAGATCCTTGTGATAAAATTTGGGAATTACAGTTAAATTTCTTATAATGTGAGCTGAGTTTAAAGAGATACAGTACTTGGCCATTTATTTTATGGTAGAAGTTGTTTAAGAAAATATATATTTTTAGTAAATACTGTACAAGTGAACCAATGTTGCTACTTCTATTTTTTAACATATTAGTGCAATATGTATTCTACAACATTTTTAATGTACTTTATTTCTTTTGCAACTTTTAGTGATGAGTACAACTCACCTGTCTTCTACATCAAGGCCCATGTTGAGGGCTGTGTTGTGAACCCACTTGCCATAATGTTCTAGCACAGTAAAATCATATCCCTTCATCTGTACATTAACTAGTGAATATTCTGGTATCTCTGGGCCTCCTGCCTGAAGAGAAAATTCTTATTAATCTACAATTCATGTAAGATCCAATACACAGCAATTAACACTATGAATAGTTTTTATAAATATAGTACAGTACTCTATCTATCCTAGTGACATAACCCAAGCCGAGTGCAAAGATACTATCATAATAATACATGACCATGCAAAAGTTATCCTGCAAAACAATGAAATAAAAGAAACACATCTGCTAGGAAAACAAGGTAGTAGACACAGTATTATGATCAAACTTCATTCATATGATAAAAGAAAGGACCTAATTAAATCAGAAATTACAATGAAAAATGGAGTGTACTTCAACGAGTGTCTAACGAGAAAACGTCAAAACCTTCTGTTCAGGCTGAGAAAACTTAAACAGGCAAACAAAATACATCAGTGTTTCACTTGAGATGGGAAAATACTAGTTAGGAAAACATCAACAGGACAACAATACACCATCTCAAATGATCATGATTTCTCTACCTTCACTTGACTCAAGAAATCGTAATGACACGATTGCAAACAAACCATACCCCCGGCTGGGATTGAACCTGCAGTCATAGAGTCTCAAAACTCCAGCCCGTTGCGTTAGCCACTAGACCAGCTAGCCACAATAAGATTCATCCAACTAGGTATATTTCTACACCATAGGAAAGTTAGCACAGGCACCACTGTGACCACAAATGCAAGTTTTTACAGACGAATCTCCAGCTAGCGTGGCCGTGACGAACTCTAGCTCAAGTCCCTTCACTGCCGTGCCTGTGCTAACCTTCCTATGGTGTAGAAATATACCTAGTTGGATGAATCTTATTGTGGCTAGCTGGTCTAGTGGCTAACGCGACGGGCTGGAGTTTTGAGACTCTATGACCATGGGTTCAATCCCGGCCGGGGGTATGGTTTCTCTACCTTCCTTAGAAAAGCTGACATTTGCGTAACAGATTAGATAAGTGTCCTTTACACATATATACATGTGGTGCATATAGTGTACGTTATTATTACATTATTGTGCATTTTTTTACTAGCTAATACCAGATACCTCAAATACTTTTTACTTCTTTTTAATTGCTATTAAATGCTCAAATTTTGTGTTGCAAGTCAAATCTTACACCTAAATTAATGTTCTTCATGGTTGCTACCTTTCCATTTAACTTTGTTTACCACTACTTATTTTAGTCCCATTTATATTGTGTGGTGCAATTAGTGTATATACCAACTACATTACTGTGCAATTCCCAGAACTATCATTTACTAGCTAGTACCAACTACCTTATACAGTGGAACCTCAAAAATCGAACTTTCTTTGGTCCAGAAGAATGTTTCGAGTGCCACTACCGAATGAATTTATTCCCATCAGGAATAATGTAAATTAGATTAGTCCATTTAAGACCCTCAAAAATACACTTACGAAAGCACTTACAAAAATACACTTACATAATTGGTTGAGTTGGGAGCAGTTCGATTTTTGAGGTTCCACTGTATTTTTTTTTTACTTTGTATAGTGCTATTAACTGCTCAAACTTAATACATATTACAAGTCAGATCTTACTCCTAAATCAATATTATATTATAGTGACTATCTGTCCATTTAACTTTGTTTACCATTACTTAGTTCAGTCCCTTGTATATTTTCTCCTTTATTTTAGCTTTAAATAATTACCTTAGTTCATATATTCACAATTGTTAAAATAATCAAGGTGCTATTCTCAGGTGCTAAAGTGTAATACGTTCATTCTTTTAATATTATATTCCCTAGCTCCATTATTTGATTACCACTTTATTTGTTCACCACTACTTATTTTAGTCCCTTTTATATTACCTCATTTATTTTAGCTTTAAAGAACTACCTTAGTTCATATATTTACATTTGTTAAAATAATTCAGGTGCTATTTTTTAGCTTTAGAATACTATTTACTTTGTCGTATACTTAAGTCTAATTATAGATCCACTATAAATCTTATGATTACAAGCATTGATCCTGATACCAACCTCTTATTGAATGACTTATATGAATCAAACAGTAACTGTAATTACTACACAGCAGAGCAAACAAAGGCACTTCTCAGAGCCAACAACAACATAACTATCTTTAACTTCAATGTCAGATCTTCAAGCAAACATTACGATGACCTCACAGCATTACTAAATTCCCTGAAAGCCAGTATGTCCATCATTACTCTCACCGAAACTTGGCTAAAGCTAGATACTACAGACATTTATGCCATTCCTGGTTACACAGCCATACACAACTGTAGGCCAGATCAACAAGGAGGTGGCACAGCTATATACTACTCAGACCAACTAGAATGTATCACTAATACTTGCACAAGGGATGAACATGGGGAATATATAATAGCTAAATTCAAATCTAAATACCTACAAAAACCTCTCACAGTGATAAATATCTATAGAGTACTACAGTCAAACATTAGCCATTCTAGTGAAAACCTAGGAAGTATGATAACTAATGCACACATGAGTAAAGATCACTTACTACTCTCAGGTGACTTCAATATAAATCTCCTGCAAGACCAGGACCCACACGTTACTGAATTCACAAACACTATGAGTAACTGCTTGTTGCTATCAACAGTAACAAAACCTACAAGAATTACAGAGACTAGTGTTTCCCTATTAGACCACATCTGGACCATATCCATATCCCCTTTAAAATCAGGCATAATCACAGATAATACCACAGACCACTACCCTACCTTTCTTGTAACCAATCTAGGTAAATTACCCCAAGATACTACTAAAGTAACCTTCAGACTTCACAATGAGGCAGCCATTAATAACTTCACAACAGCAATGACAAACATTGACTGGCTAACTGAGCCAGAAACCTATACAGATACTGACGAATGTATTAATAATTTTCTAAAAAAGACCCAATACCTCTATAACAAGCACTGCCCTAAACAACCAAACAGATCACAGCTAAGAGACTGAACAGTCCCTGGCTAACACCTAGCATCCTCAAATCCATAAATATAAAGCACCTATACAAAAAACAGTATAGAACGGGTCACATAACCGGAGACCAAACAAAACGTTACTCGTCAATCCTAACCAGCCTGATAAGAAGGGCAAAAAACTGTATTATGAGAACAGATTATCCAACTTAAAAGGTGATATAAAAAAGACCTGGAAAACCCTATCTGAAATTCTAGGAACAAAACAGTTATCAGGAAACAGAGCAATCAAACTAACAAAACCAGATGAACCCCAACTCCCACCAACTGAAACAGCAGACTCAATGTTTTCTTCTCCACCATAGGAAAAAACCTTGCCGATAAAATCCCAAACTCAAATACCAACAAAATGACTACCTCACTGGCAACTACCCGAACACACTGTTCCTAGCTCCGACTAACCCAACAGAAGTCTCCCTTATTATCAACACACTAAAAAACAAGACAGGAGATTTAAATACCTTACCACCCTTTATATACAAAAATGCTTTGCAAGTGCTGTCACCAATCATTGCAACACTCTTTAACAAATCTATCGAATCCTCTACCTTCCCTACAGTTCTCAAAATAGCGAGGGTCACCCCAATACATAAAGGAGGAGATCAAACAGACTTGAATAACTATAGGCCAATATCCAACTTACACCCTCTCTCTAAAATCTTTGAAAAATTAATTCATAAGCGAATCTATTCCTACCTCATCTCCCACAACATACTCAACCCCTGTCAGTTTGGGTTCAGGCCTAATAAAAATACAAATGATGCTATTATACACATGCTAGAACAAATATACACTGCACTCGAGAAAAAAGAAGTCCCATTGGGGGTCTTCATTGATTTACGTAAAGCTTTTGATACAGTTGACCATGATTTGCTGCACATAAAATTGTCTCACTATGGTATGGTATAAGAGGGCACTCCCTCAACTACCTAAAGTCGTACCTTAGCAACAGAAGCCAATATGTGTACACAAATGGAGCAAACTCTTCCACACAGCCAATTACAGTTGGTGTCCCACAGGGAAGTGTCCTTGGTCCTCATTTTCTCATTTACATAAACGACCTACCAAATGCATCGCAATTACTCAAACCCACACTGTTTGCAGATGACACTTCATATGTCTTCTCTCACCCAAGCCCAGTCATGCTAGCCAATACTGTAAATACCGAATTACAGAAAATATCTACCTGGATGAGGACTAACAAACTTACTCTCAACATTGACAAAACCTACTTCATTCAGTTTGGAAACAGAGCTACAGATGTCCCTCTTAACATAATGATAAATGGATCACCTATCACGAAGCTCACAGAGGGAAAACTCTTAGGCATCCACCTTGATAATAGACTAAAATTTCATACACATATACAACACATTTCCAAGAAAATCTCCAAGACCGTAGGCATACTATAGAAGATACGGTACTATGTTCCACAGTCAGCCCTCCTGGCCCTATATCACTCACTCTTTTACCCCTATCTCAGCTATGGAATTTGTGCATGGGGCTCAACAACAATAAACCATCTCAGACCATTAATTACCCAACAAAAGACTGCAGTCAGAATGATAACAAATTCCCACAACAGGCAGCATGCTCCACCAATATTCAAAACTCTAAACTTACTCACAGTACAAAGCATCCATACTGATTATTGTACCTACTACATACATAGAACACTTAACTTGGATATAAACCCTCCCCTCAAACTTTTCCTTACAAACCTCAACAGAACACATGACCACAACACAAGGCACAGATCACTCTTTGATGTTCCTCTTGTCCATCTCACACTATGTAAAAATGCAATGCACATAAAAGGCCCAAAAATCTGGAATTCATTACCTGTGAGTATAAAAGAAACACTGTCTGCTTATCAATTCAAGACTCTTCTTAAAAACCACTTACTCACCCACAACTAAATAAATACTGATTAACTGTATCTCATAAATGTATAACCTGTGACCCTATCAAACTTTTTTTTTTTGTAATTACATTACCTAATAGATACTCCATTCTCTTGAATGCTCAGTAACTCACCAAAGGTGTTACAAATTTGTACAACTATAAAGCTTCTTATTTGAAATACTCATTTGTACTTCATGTTGTAATTTGTTTACTGTATTTTTACCACTGAATATATCATTGCTTAGTTAATTTTAAGTTAATTTTAAGCCTGCCTACAATGCTCTGCATACAAGAGGCTTTTGGCATGTACATGCAACCACTGTATTTCTTTTGTACAACTATGCATCATGTCCAAATAATAATAAATAAAATAAATACAGTATTCACTTAACACTGTCTTCAAAAATTAATCACTTGAAGTTTTGCATCCCTAGTCAAAACTGTTAATATTTGGTAAATCTTTGATATGAGTCTTTATTCTGCATCAAAACTAGCCTAGCATGACTGTTCTTGTAATTTATGCAAAATAATATTGCTTAATTAACCTACTGTAGTGAAATTAAGAATTTGCATATGGCACTTACATTTGTAGTAACTAGGTGACTAATATGTCAGCAGAAAGGGGCCAGTAACCCCTTCTCCTGTATAAATTTCTAAATTTAAAAAGAGAAATGTTCATTTTTCTTTTTGGGTCACCCTGCCTTGGTGGGATGCTGCCAGTTTGTTGAAAAAAAAATTGTAGTAACTAATTTCCTTGTGAGGGGAAAGAAAGACAAAACTTCAGGGGACCAAAACTGACTGACTCCTTAGGTTGAACTAAGAGGTGTAAATGAAGCATCAATAATACAGTAATACATAATATTTAATTAAGAGCTAAATCCAAGAGGGAAGGCACATGAGAAGATTAATTTGAGGAATTTTAAGCATTCCTAATAATTTAAATGTTTGAATTGATAAAGTCCTCATCTTTGGATACCATGGATCACATTTGTAACAGGGAATGACTGAGTATAGAGAATAAAATAAAAAAAAGAAACATGAAATTGCAGTATCAGAAAAAGCATAAGACCCCTTCACTGCTGCCAGTCTTTTGATGCACAAGCTTTTCTGAAGACAAGGGTAAGTTTTGATAAATGGTGACAATAAGTGAACCTCTGTCTCATCACAGTACTGTAGTAGGAACTGAAGAACTCTTGGGAGAATGATCATGTGAAAAAAGGAAAAGTAATGAAGTAGGAATACAATAACTGAAATGTAGTATCTGGATATTGTTGCACCCTGAGGTAAAGGAAGCAGACGGCACTCAAGGAGAGGTCAGAATGAGGGGTTTTCAAGAAGAAAAAAAATGGATGGAATAAAAGCTTTCCATTGGACACAAGTTACTGCATGACCACATGACATGCCTTCCCACTCTCACAGATAGTATACTTCATATTTCCTATTTAAATACAGGGCACTAACAGGAATACAAAGGGTATTCTTGTAGATCTATGGATAGATTTTTAGGTAGTCTCTGTGCAGTTCCTTAGCTGGGTGGCCAAACCACCAGCAGTGTTGGCAGTGACTAGTAATGGTTTACACCCTCTGCTACTGCCAACTGCTTTCCATTTAGAAATACTGTTAAAGGAATGGTGGCAGTCAAACATGATTTTGGCCAAATTACTTACAGAGCCAAATTACTTACAGTGGCTATGAGAGCTCCAAGGTCTTTAATCATGTTATTATTATTATACTTACGAGGAAGCAATACACCCATAAGTTATACAGTGCCTGGGGAATGGAAGACAATCAGGTTTGATCTCAGGAAGAGGAAGACCACTCCAATTCCTCAGATCAAGAGCCTTTCACAGGAATCAAGAAACCTCCCATGAGGGGTTGACTTAGAAAATAAGCAGTGCATTACACCTCCAGTATATGCAATATATGTAGGTGGTATAATGGTGGGGAAGAGTATGATGATCAAGATCATTCATCAAAGATCTTCCAAGATGACATGACTTTCAGTGCTTGCTGTCACCCTTACAAGCCCCAAGAGTAGTACTGTACCTAAATCCATATAAAGGTGGGATTCCTGTATTCCCAAAAAGTTATCACAAGTTCTATACACTGATAGATCTAAACAGGAGTCTTCTGGCATGGCTGCATCTGCTCTTGTTGCCACCTCCCTAGTTAAGAACGATAATAAATTTGTTGAGTTAGGCACAAGAATTAACACCTGGGCGTCTACAATGCAAACTGAATTGTTTGCAATCCTAATGGCACTAAAGCCAACTTATGACACTGAGCTTACTCTATCATCATTACTGATTCTATGTCATCAGTGAAAGCTCTTGACTCATATAATGACTCCAACAACATGCTCATTGGAAAAGCCAGGTATAGATACTCAAAAATCAAGGAAAAAGGAAATAATTTACAACTGTTATGGATCCCATCACACACTGGATTACTCCTTCATGAAAAAGTTGACGTTAGCCAAGAAGAGTACCCTGAAGGAGAATGTAGAATACAGTGGTACCTTGGGATACAAATTTATTTCATTCCAGAAGGCTGTTCAAGTACCAATACCGAACAAATTTGTTCCCATAAGGAATAATGTAAATTAGATTAATCCATTTCAGACCCCCAAAAATACACTTACAAAAGCACTTACATAAGTACACTTACATAACTGTTCAAGTTTTTAGCTGTTCGTATCCCAAGGTACCACTGTATAACTTTGGTATATCTGTGTCTAGCATATGGAATAATATTAGGAGAGAAGTAAATAATGAAAATGAATGTCTTAGGAATGCAATTAGAAGCCTGAGTAGATCTATAACCCACTATGATAACATGAATGTAGATAAGTATGTTTATGGAGCAACTTGCAATGTGAACAGACTGACTGATGTTGTAGTGGCCAGGCTTAGGCTTGGTTACAAGTACTTTTGGCAGTTTGGGAGACACAGATGATGATCCAATCAAATGCAAATTATATGGTCAGGCATATGGTCACTGTCTCGAACACTGTGTGCTTAACTGTCCACTTATTGAGGAATATAGAGATAGACAATATAAGAACCTATGTGACATGTCAAGATATGTTATTAATGACAATAAGATACCAGATATACTAAGCAAATTTCCTAAATTTGCTTGTAACAGATAAGTGAACTGTAGATATAAATCCAAATGTACACCTGTTAACCCTTTTGGGGGGTAGTTCCTAGGCCTTTTGTGTATCCATATGCTCTTGTGCTACCGTCCACAAGATGGATATGGAGTGCACAATAAACTAGCCGCTTCAGTGGCAAAATCTAATCCTATATTCCCAGAAGCTCCTGGAAATAGACAGCCCTGCAATTTTATTGTTTGCATAAAATGGAATGGCAAAGATTCACTTCCCATGATACCTCAGCCCAGACAACCAAGGAACTGTACTAAAATCTAGGCTGTTAGCAGCAGATAGTCAGACTCTTGTAGTCAAAGCAGTAGAACATGCTTCATCCACATATAAGGATACCTGCTGACATTACCTGCTGGTAATGTCAGCAGGTATCCCACTCTGAAAAGATTGTTGCCACATGGGAGAACAAAGTGTTAAACATTCAAATATTTTACCAACTCTATACACTGTAGTTGTATGAAATTTTCTCTGCAATAGTAATACTGCAGTAAAAGGGAATTTCCAAAAAACTTGTTATTTAGAGTACATACTGATACTAAAAATATTATATTCTACATACATCTAAATATGGAGGTTCGGTCTCGATGCTATATCTCTGAACCGAACGGGAGATTGATCGCTTCGCCATATGTGTGCATCTTGCTGCTATCTGCAAGGAAAACCTAAAATTAACAAACCTTACAGTTCTGTACATTATCATCATTTCCAGTCTTCTGGATCAAATTTAAGTTTAGTTCAGGGGTGCCATTTATTTTTTCTGAGCTTTCATTTTACAGACATTTTTAGCCAGGTTTTATACTGCAATACAGTAATTCAATTTTCAGCACAAGAGAGTTTTATATCTTCCTTGTTTTAAGAACATAAGAATGGAGGAACACTGCAGAAGGCCTACTGGCCCATGCAAGGCAGGTCCTTATCAAAACAACCTCTACCTAAAGCTACCCAAGAAATAACTCCCGTACCCACTGACACCAATCAAACCCAGCCCCTCCCACTCATATATTTGTCCAATCTCTTCTTAAAGCTACCCAAGGTCCTAGCCTCTATCACCCAACTGGGAAGATTGTTCCACGCATCTACAACTCTGTTAGAAAACCAGTACTTACCTATGTCCTTTCTAAATCTAAATTTACTGTTACTTCAGACTTAATACCCGTTTTTATGCAACAGTTCAAGCGATCTCGGACATACAGTGCTACCCCCACCCCCCTTCCTGATACTTCTGTGTACTTGGAACAATTTAAAATCCTGTATGTGACATTCAGCAGGCATGTCCCAATTTTTCGTATTGAACCACGTCTCAGTTAAGGCAAATACATCAATGTTACCTGCACTAGCAACTAGTCTCAACTCGTCCATCTTATTCCTAGCACTACGACTATTTGTGTAATATATTTTTAAGGACCCTCCTTTCTCTTTACCCTTCCTGCTCCTTTCTGTTATTCCACTAAACCTATTACTGTCCTTGTCACCTAGTGTCACTGGCTTTCCAATATCCACCTCATAAGACACATGTGCAACACTTGGGTATCCTTAATGAGGAAACGTTTTGGTTAGATTTAGATTCTAGATCTAGATTCTTTATTTCCAATGACCACATTTACAAATACTGTATAAAATAATCAGAAAGCTCAAAGGATGCACAGCAGTTTGGCAATACTATGCACTCACTAGTGTGAGTGAAAAAATGGAAATGGAGAGCTCAAGTACCATATTCTACAAACACAGTAGTCACTTTTAATAAAAAAAACTGAGCAAGCTTAGCGCTAATTAAGTAGATAAGGTTAATTTAGTAAGACTGTATTATAAAAGTTTTTTTTTTTTTTTTTTTATTAACACATCAGCCATTTCCCACCAAGGTTGGGTGGTGCAAAAAAGCAAAACTTTCACCATCATTCACTTCATCACTGTCTTGTGAGAGGTGCACTTACACTACAGTTATAAAACTGCAACATTAACACCTCTCTTTCAGAGTGCAGGCACTGTACTTCCCATCTCCAGGACTCAAGTCTGACCTGCTGGTTTCCCTGAATCCCTTCATAAATATTACCCTGCTCACACTCCAACAGCACGTCAAGTCCTAAAAACCATTTGTCTCCATTCGCTCCTATCTAACACTCTCATGCATGCTTGCTGGAAGTCCAAGCCCCTCGCACACAAAACCTTTACTTTCTCCCTAGGCCAACTTCTACCCTGCCTTCCCTCTACTACAGATTTATATACTCTTGAAGTCAATCTATTTTGTTCTATCCTCTCTATATGTCTGTGCCACCTCAACAATCCCTCCTCAGCTCTCTGAGGAGGGGTTGGTAATCCCACACCTCCTCCTAATTTCCAAACTACGAATTCTCTGCATTATATTCACACCACACATTGGCAATTATATATATATATATATATATAATATATATATATATATATATATATATATATATATATATATATATATATATATATATATATATATATAATATATAAAAACAGACTTCTCTCAACCAACTCTCCCACAGATGCTGTCCTTTAAAACACCAACAGCAACCATGCTAACAGCCAGAATAATTATCATAAATATTCTGTAATTTAAGGTAAATTACTTTTAGAGATCAATTATTTTCATTCCTGAAAATAACCTAAAAAAATTTATAGTAAAAATGTGTTATACGTAATTAGATATTGAGACAAAACAGGGAAGACACTAAAATAAAGCAGTATCATAACCTAAAGCTCCATTTTCTTGTATAAAAGTGCTCCCTAAACTTGCGGCATACCCTTCAAGGAGAGCCCAAAAAGATTTCAGAGAGACACGGGGTCAGTGACAAATGGTCAGCATGAAAGGCTTATTATTATATATACTAAATAAATAATCAGATGGCCCAGTTGGCAGCATCCTCAGCTCACACACTGAGGGATAGGGGATCACTCCACAGCATGGGTGAAACATTGGGCATGTGCTCCATGTGGTGCATGATGGGCAAAGCAAAACTCTGACCTTGTTTCATTAAAAATAGAAACTTTGAGGTGTTTTCTAGGTTGGTTTTTATTGTTTGTCTGCTATCACTTGACAGAATGGAAGATATACAGTGGACCCTCGAGTTTTGTAAGCCTCGTGCTTCGTAAATTTCGTCCTTTGACAACTTTTTCGCCAAAATATGGCCTCACGGTTCGTAATTTGAATCACCATTTGTTGGTCGTCCGGAACGCATACAAGTGGCCTCCCAGCATCCAAGCCACACAAAGGCACCCCATACACCATTCCCAGTCAGTGTGGCATTGTTTATTGGCGAGTGACCATCACCCCACGCGTTCATACAATACATTTCGTAATAATCCATTGCTTTTTGTGTTTGCAACTGTTAAATAAGCCACCATGGGCCAAAAGAAGCTCCTAGTGCCAGCCCTTTGGTAAAGAAGGCACGAAACACGACAGAATTCAAGAAAGAACACACCAGCCAGGGTACTTCCCCACACACACACACCAGCCAGGGTACTTCCCCACACACACACACACCAGCCAGGGTACTTCCCCACACACACGACATGATCTGAGTGGGACTTGCCCATGAGTGAATAGAATTATCAAAGCTTATTGCTTGGGAAGAACTGAAAATTGGGTTGGGCAAATGTTCTGTTAGTGGGATGGTTTGTGAAGACCCTACCTAGTATGGACCAACAGGTCTGCTACAGTGTTCCTGCTTTCTTATGTTCTTATGTACACCAGCCAGGGTACTTCCCCACACACACCAGCCAGGGCACTTCCCCACACACCAGCCAGGGTACTTCCCTACACACCAGCCAGGGTACTTCCCTACACACACACTATTTGATCTTAGTGGGACTTGCACATGAGTGAGTAGAATTATCAAAGCTTATTGCTTGGGGAGCACTGAAAATTGGGTTGGGCAAATATTCTGTTAGTGGGATGGTTTGTGAAGGGCCTGCCTAGCATGGGCCAACAGGCCTGCTGCAGTGTTCTGGCTTTCTTATGTTCTCATGTATACCAGCTGAGAACATTGCTTCAGAGGAGGAGGAAGAGAGAAGGAAGAAGGTGCCTTCTTCAAAGATTAAGGATATTTGTGTGAAGTGGAGTGAGGTGCAAACATTTGTGGAGGAACATCACCCTAACCCTCTCCCCTCCTCCCACCTTCCATTCACCAACAAGAGTCTTCAATGAAGGTAAGTGTGATGTTATTATTGTTTTATACTTGATTTCTCATTCTTTTCTACATGTAAATCTATATTTAACGTAAAAAAATATATTTTGTTAATACTTTTGGGTGTCTGGAACGGATTAATTGGATTTACATTATTTCTTACGGGAAAAATGGTTTTGTCATTCATAAATTTCAACTTTTGTAACACTCTGGAATGGATTAATTACAAAATTCGAGGGTCCACTGTACTACTAAAATAAAGATGATTTTGGTTTGAAATGGGGTTCAAATTAGTGGAAATATTAGATTTTTCTGATTTTCCTGAGGATGAATAAGGCCCCCCTACACCCCTCTGGTCTGTTTTATGAACTTTGAATAGGTCTGATTCAATTATTGAGATACCATAACCAACCACTACTTGTCATATTTTATTATCAGAGAAACAGGGTAAATATTATTTTTGTGTGATTATAAAGTAAAAATGTAAGGCAAGTGTAATAAAGGAGAGGCCTGGGGCTGTGAGTAATGAACAGGGAAAATATTTTAGTGCCTAGACTGCCTACATTGATTATAATCTGGACCTTTGCCTAGAAAAAAATTAATACTGTGGTTCTTGAGTTCTGCTCAAGGCACATTCCATTAAGAAAAAGAAAGAGAAGATGTAAACTAGAAAGAGAGAGAGACGCTCTCTATACAGATGAAGGTGAAGAATCACAGATCTGCTGAGAGGGGCCAATATATCTGAAAAATGAAAGGAGGCACTGGTCAGTGAAATAGCAAGTATCGATTCTTAGAGGAGACAAGAATCTCAAGAAGAACTAAAAGCCATAAAGGAAATTGAAAAATAACCCAAAATACTTCCTCTCTTATGCTAAAGCTAAGAGAAATGCAACATCCAGTACTGGGCCCCTTCTTAGGTGAGATGGGACATACACAGATGACAGCAAAGAAATGAGTGAGATACTAAAGTCCCAATACAACTCAATGTTCAGCCAGCCATTACCCAGACTAAGGGTCGACAATCTAAATGAATTCTTCATGAATGAGAACCAAAATTTGGTCATCTTAGAAAAATCTCTGATATTATCCTAGCACCACAAGACTGAAAAGGCAATAAATGACATGCCCATGCGTTCTGCCCCAGGCCCAGACTAATGGAACTCCACGTTCATCAAGAACTGCAAGAAGCCTCTGTCATGTGCCTTCAGCATTCTATGGAGAGGGAGCACGGACACAGGGGTCATCCCACACTCACTAAAAACAACAGACATAGTCCCACTCTACAAAAGTGGCAGCAAAGCAAATGCAAAGAACTACAGACCGATAGCACTAACATCCCATATCATAAATATCATTGAAAGGGTTCTAGGAAGCAAGATCGCCAACTGCCTAGATACCCATCAATTACACAACCCTGGGCAACACGGGTATAGAGCAGGTCACTCCTGCCTGTCCCAGCTACTGGACCACTATGATAAGGTCCTGGATGCTATAGTGGATAAACAAAATACTGATGTAGTATACACAGACTTTGCAAAAGCCTTCGACAAGTGTGACCACGGTGTAATAGCACACAAAATGTGTGATAAAGGAATAACAGAAAAAGTTGGTAGATTGGATTTATAACTTCCTAACAAACAGAACACAAAGAGTAATAGTAAACAGAGTAAAGTCTCAGGCAGCTATAGTGAAAAGCTCTTTTCCACAAGGCACAGTACTCGCTCCCATCCTATTCCTCATCCTCATATCTCACATAGATAGAGAAGTAAGCCACAGCTCCATGTCTTCCTTAGAGGATGACACCTGAATTGCCATAACAGTGTCCTCCATCGAAGACACCACAAGACTCCAAGCGGACATCAACCAAATCTTCAAATGGGCCACTCAAAAACAATATGAAGTTCAACGAAGAGAAATTGCAACTAGTACTCAGATATGGAAAACTTGAGGAAATTAAAACTGTATCACAGTATACAACAAATTCTAACCATACAATAAAGTGAAAAAGTAATGTGAAGGGCCTGGGAGTGTTAATGTCAGAGGATCTCACTTTCAAGGACCACAACAATGTATCCACCGCATCTGCTAGAAAAATGACAGGATGCATAGTGAGAACTTGCAAAACTAGGGATGCCAAGCCCATGATGATTCTCTTCAAATTGCTTCTCTCTAGGCTGGAATACTGCTGTACACTAACTGCCCCCTTCAAGGCAGGCAAAATTGTTGACCTGGAGAGTGTATAAAGAACTTTCACAGAACACAAAAGTACGATAAGGGACCTAAATTACTGGGAGCGGTTGAAGACCCTTGATTTGTATTCCCTGGAATGCAGGCAAGATAGATACATGATAATATACACTTGGGAAATCCTAGAGGGATTAGTTCCAAACCTGCACATGAAAATCACTCCCTATGAAAATAAAAGACTCGGCAGGAGGTGCAACATTCCCCCAATGAAAAGCAGGGGTGCCACAAGGACACTGAGAGACAACACAATACAGTAAGTGTCAGGGGCCCAAGTCTGTTCAACTGCCTCCCAGCATACATAAAAGGGATCACCAATAGACCCCTGGCTGTCTTCAAGAAGGTACTGGACAGGCACCTAAAGTCAGTACTTGACCAGCTGGACTGTGGTTCGTACGTCAGTGTGCATGCAGCCAGCAGTAATAGCCTGCTTGATCAGACCCTGATCCACCACAAGGCCTGGTCTCAGACCGGGCCATGGGAGTATTGACTCCCAAAACCCTCTCCAGGTATACTCCAGGCAAGGTTCTATTAAAAAGTTCCCATACTCGAATTGCTGCATGCTTCCTGGGTGAAATATGGTGGTGGCATAGATCATGTTGCACAGCACACTCCTGTCAGAAGTAGCATGATGAATTTGAGTGCAGTCGGTTATTCCATTGAGGAGAGGTGGGCATCTTTTGTTGTGTTGTTAGTGTGTTGTTGTAATTCTTTGGCAACAAAATGGAATCTTAAAAAAAAAAAAAAAATGTTTGTGTGTAAAATTCTGTTTCAAGCTTGGTAAATGGTTTTATTATGGTAAATGGTTAGTGAAACAAAATGCTTCAGCAAACATTTGGCAATGAATCAATGGGCCAGACACACTGTCTTGAATGGTTTTCTCAGTTCAAAGTAGGATGAACGTCAGTTGCGGATGATGAATGCTTTGGTCATCCATCAGTGTCAAAAGCAGATGCCAACATTAAAAAAGTGCAGAAGACTATTCATAAAAATCATCGTAAGAGTATCCAGGATATTGCAAGTGCTGTGGGAATTTCTTCTGGGTCATGTCAAAGCATTCTGATTGTAAATTTGAACATGAGGAGAATGGTTGCATAATTTGTGCCCTGCTTGCTGATTCAAGATAAAAAAAAAAATTGCCCACCCTTTCCACTTCCCAGATTTAGCCTCCTGTGACTTCTTTCTTTTCTCAAAAATAAAAATGGTACTCAAGAGGTGATATTTTTATGGCATGGAGGAGTTTCAAGCAAAGCTGCAGGCCGCACTAGATGCCGTTAAGAAAGAAGCGTTACAGAAATGTTTTATGAAGTGGTAGAGGCACAGGAATCACTGTATATATAGCCTTCCAGGGAGAGTACTTCAAGGAAGACAACCTCAACTAGCTGATTAGGTAAGACAATATATGACTCATGAAATTGTATTATTATTAAAATCAAAAAGAAGCTCTAAGCCACAAGGGCTATACAGCTGGCATGAAATTGTAATGACATGATTGCAAACAAACCATACCAAGGGCGGGGATAGAACCTGCGATTAGAGTCATAAAACTCCATATGACATATGACTCTCTGATTGCATATTCTATCCCCACCCATGGTATGGTTTGGTAAGACAATATATTTTTTCACCGCTGTCCGGGAACTTTTTGACAGCACCTCATATTCCTTATTCAAAGACAGTCTCTTGCAAAACACATCAATAAAAATATTAAACTCTGATGTAATTACTATCACATTCACAGGGAAAAATCTAAGCTTATAACTATGTTTGGTCCAATTTGGACCATTTACAAAGTCACACTAACAGAAAAGAGTGAGGGATTGAGTATACATAGGTGAGAGGGACAAGGATGGGAGCAAGAGAGAGAGAAAGAAAAAGGCAAGAGGAATGAGCAGTGATCATATATTATTCAAAGGAAAGGGTAGCTCAAATGCCATGGATCAACAGACCTTCTATAACATTATCTTATCTTACTCCCCTTGAAGGGACAGTTACTGCTATACATATATGCAAGGAAGCCACATAATGAAATAATAATATAATAATAATAATAATAATAATCTTTATTTCTACAAATACATGATATGACTGAGGTGTCCTGTAGCTTGATTGCTAGTGCACTCAGCTCACACACTGAGATCCAGAGTTCAAATCTTCTCCGGTATAGCTGGAAAACATTAGGGGTGTGTTTCCATAAGACACCTGCTGTCGCTGGTCACTTATCAGTAAAATGGGTACCTGGGTATTAGTCGACTGGTGTAGGTCGCATCCTGGGACAAAATTGCCCTAATTTGCCCAAAATGCTCTGCATAACAACCAGCTTGCTATATAGTAGTATGTCATTGATGTCAGCTAGGACTGTATGCCTTGTACATGTACATGTAGTAAATAAATATTATTATTATATAGACTGAGTGGACATCATTAGTATACTATATAGAAAGCCCCTGATTATGCAGAGCATGCGGACAACTTAGGTTAATCTTGTCCCCCAGGATGCGACCCACAATGCATAAAATACTGAGAGGAATTGACAAGGTGAACAGGATCACAATGTTTTAGAGATGGGATGCAGGAACTAAAGGACACAGCTGGAAGTTGCAAACTCAGATGAGTCACAGGGAAGTTATGGAGTATTTTTTCAGCCTTAAATTTGTCGGGACGTGGAACAATCTAGAGAGTGAAGTGGTTGAGGCAGGATTCATACATAGCTTTAAAGAGGTACTATAACGCTTTAGGAGCAGGGAGAGTGGCCATAGTAGCGATCAAGGAAGAGGATGGGCCAGGAGCTGTGAAATGACCCCTGCAACCACATATAGGTGAGTACACCAGTCGACTAACACCCAGGTACCTACTTACTGCTAGGTGAAGAGGAACAGCATTTGTAAGGAAACATGCCTAACGTTTCTACCTATGCCGGGGAACAATTCTGTACTGTCAGTGTTCAAGCTGAGGACACTACCAAGCTACCAGCACCCACTCCTGGTATCTCATTTAATAACTGTTTTAATCAAGACTATTATACTCTGTTTCTCGGAAATATTAATCTGGAAAACACACCTTCGAAACCGAAAACATGTTGTTGGGTTTATCAGGGCCACTGACAACTTAGGCTGTATCCAGCCCTGCTTCCTGATGTGTGGAGAAGATATAAATAATAATATCTTTATTTACTATAAGTACATGTACAAGGTATATTGAAAGCCCCTTGTTCTGCAGAGCATTTCAGGAAAATTAGATCAATTTTGTCCCAGGATGCGACTCACACCAGTCGACAAACACCCAGGTATCCATTTTACTGATGGGTGAACATAGACAACCAGTGTAATGAAACACGTCCAATGTTTCTACCCTCGCTGGGAGTCGAACCCAGCATTCGCAGTGTGAAGCGAGAGTTTTAGCCAACAGGTCACGGGCACCGTTGCCCAAAGCTAGGCCATGAAGGAAAAGAGACCACGAGTACCTTTGTAAATAGAAACAGAAACTAGAGAGGCCCCAGCAGAACGAGACGCTCACATCACCTCATCTGAGTTCAAGAACCGGCTTCCCAACAAAACCGTTAAAGAACTATTCTCAGAGCGGAAAAATGGAACTGGTTAATAGTATAATAAGTAGATTTTTATTTCATCAAGTACATGTACAAGGTATATAGGCCTAGCTGACATCAACGACATACTGCTATATAGAAAGTCGCTTGTTATGCAGAGCATTTTGGGCATAGTAGGTCAATTTTGTCCGAGGATGCGACCCAATGGAAATAAAGGACCCCAATGGAAATAAGTCACTCTGACTTTTTTGGGTTATCCTAGGTTCTCTACACATATGCTGCTATGTATGATAATTCTATGTAACTGTATTTGTGTATACCTGAATAAACTTACTTACTTACTTACTTACACACCAGTCGACTAACACCCAGGTACCCATTTTATACTGAAGATAAGATAAGATAAGATAAGATTTCGTTCGGATTTTTAACCCCGGAGGGTTAGCCACTTTTCCACCAGCCCACGGGCCACCGTGGTTAAAAGTAAGCCGATAGTAAGTTAATTTAGGTATAGGTTCATAAATACAGTTACATAAATTATCAGACATAGCAGCACATGTGTAGATTACCTAAGATAACCCAAAAATCAGACGATAATAGATGACCCTCCTGTAACCTGGCCGGCGGGCAAAGTAGATGAGGACAAATATCCCAGAGAGAACGGGGGAAATTTGTCACTGATGTACAGGCGACAGTGAGAAGTCCAGATTTGGCGAAGGCTCGAGCCGAAATGAAAAAAAAATCTAGGGTTTTTGAGGGCCACTAACAGCTTACGCCGTATCGAGATCTGCTTCCCGATGTACTGAGCTATTTACGTGAACACTTAAGAGAGGATCAGCTTACAATAATAGTTACACGAATGTTAGCTATATAAAAAGTCGCTCTCCTCCCTTTCTGTAGCTTCATTCATTAGGTGCCTTTTAATTCTCTTCTTGAAATGGTTCATAAAGGACCCCAATGGAAATAAGTCACTCCGACTTTTTTTGGGGTTATCTTAGGTTCTCTACACATATGCTGTTATGTATAATAATCTATGTAACTGTATTTGTGTATACCTGAATAAACTTACTCACTGACAGGCTTTGACATGTGCAGGCAATCTGTTCCACTCATTTATAACTACAATAAAAGGTGTTTGAAGCCTGACCACCTACTGCAAGTATTATAAAATTGCGTTCACATTCCCTAGTACCATACTGGTTTTGGTTTCCAGTTTTGACAGACTTGGCAGCAAGATATTCTGGACACTGCATGTGAGCAATTTTACAAACGTGATTTAAATCCAGTTGCTTTACTCTGTCCCTGTCCCTCCCCTCAAGGAAGGTTCCTTGATGTTGGTGAGGGGCTCTTGATTTAGGGAATTGGATCTGTGCTCCAGTTCCCCGAATTAAGCTTGAATGCCTTCCACTTCCCCCCCCCCCAGGCGCTGTATAATCTTCCGGGTTTAGCGCTTCCCCCTTGATTATAATAATAATAATGTCCCTGTCCCTATTCCTGTTCACCGTGGCCTGGCTGGCAAAGCTCTCGCTTCATACACGGTGGGCCAGGGTTCGATTCCTGGTGGGGTAGAAACATTTCGACTCGTTTCCTTACACCTGTTGTCCTGTTCACCTAGCAGCAAATAGGTATCTGGGTGTTAGTCGACTGGTGTGGGTCGCATCCTGGGGGACAAGATTGAGGACCCCAATGGAAATAAGTTAGACAGTCCTCGATGACGCAATGACTTTCTTGGGTTATCCTGGGTGGCTAACCCTACGGGGTTAAAAATCCGAACGAAATCTTATCTTATCTTTCCTGTGTACACCAGGAAGCAGAGCTGGATACTACATTAACTGCCAGTGGCCTTTACAAACCCAACACGAAGGCTGTATTTAAGTTTTTATGTGTATATACATTGAGAGGTGTGTATGTTAGTATATATATAACACCAGGTGTATATATTGTGTATGTACTTGACTTTTTGTTTTATTAGACTATCGTAACGTATTGTTGATGTGATAAATGGTTTTGTAAACCGACAAGTTGTAGATTGAGACACTTATGCAACATATGGGAAACTTGATTGAAAAAACATTTCACCACACGGTGGCTTCATCAGTCCGGTCTTCAACTTGTCGGTTTTCAAAACCATTTATCACATCTGTCAGACACTGCAACATCATGGGATCTTGATACAAAGTATTCTTCAACACCTGTCCAACCTTTGGCTGAAGACCTACTTACACTAGTGGCAGGTACCACTGTGATCCCGCCTCCTCCTGCTTCCACTCACCTGACTACAGTATATAAGTCACTACTCTGGCTCTGTGCTGTACTTTCTACAAGACTGATGGACTGAACACATCGATTCCAGGCTGAGGGACTGATTACCTCAAACTCCTTACATTTTTCTACTTTGTATTGGACTGATGAAGCCACTATGTGGCGAGACGTTTCTTCAATAAAGATTCCCATATGTTTCATATTCCCCTTAAGGGAGGTTCCTTGATGCTGGTGAGGGGCTCTTGATCTAGGGAATTGGATCTGTGCTCCAGTTCCCTGAATTGAGCCTGAATACCTTCCATCTCCCCCCACATGCACTGTATAATCCTATAGGTTTAGCGCTCCCCTGTGATTATAATAGTAATGTTACATATTGTTGATGTTCTATGTCCTTGACCACCTAGGTATGTCCTTAAAATAACATTAATAAGTAAGTATTTTAAGGGACAGGTACACATATACAGTTAGCATACATTGAGTACATTGCCTATGATAACCACAAAAAGTTACTCAGTATACCCTAATAAAGTCAGTGTGTCATCGAAGATTTCTCTTATTTCCATTGAGGTCCCTTAATCTTGTGCCCCAGGATGTGACCCACACCAGTTTACTAACACCCAGGTATCTACTTTTTATTAGGTGAACAGGGACAGTAGGTGTAAAGAAAGATGCCTAACATTTCTTATCTTTAACAATAAAATATTTTGCCGTATCCTGTAGAAGCTTCGACCATGGACAGTTTAATTGTAAATGAATCTTTATCCTCATTACATGCATGATCCAAGGAAGGGGAGCAAAAGCCCCTCACTGACATCAAGGCAACAATCTTGAGGGGTCACATTTCTTAGGCATGATGTGACTCCTATGGGTTTAGTGCTTCTCCATAAATACAGACTTACTTGCAGTCCATAGAACAATCTAACAAATTGCCTAGGTTATACGTATATGGATTTTAATGGCAATACAGTACTTTGATTTCATTGTTATAAGTTTGGTGTCATTGTATAAAATTTGGGTATTGTATGTAATTGTGGAATTGTATATTATTGTGTTAGTGTTGTAATTGTGCCATTATATATTATTGTGCAGTTGTTGTGATTGTATGTTTTAATTGTGCCAGTGTATGTAATTGTGTCAGATATTTTTGTCATTGTAGTACATAATTGTCATTGAATATATTTGTGTCACTTTATGTGGTAGTGTCATTGTATGTAGTGAACAGGTAAACCCATTACTGTGCTCCAGGTGCTGTAGTGGCATGAAATTAAGATGGGTCTTAATGAATTCATTTTCCTACTGATCCCCAGGATGTTGAAACATAAATGTGTGAGAAACTCCAGACTTAACAGACAGAAGTGATCTGAATAAAAATTTCAGTGTGTCAAAATATACTTCAAACCTACTGGAAATGTTAGTTTCTGGCAGGTGTGTTTGTGGGTACACACACTAACATCACAACTCACCCTGTACCTTGCTCACACTCCAGCTTCATAAATCATGTGCTGCTACTTTCTTCATCAATATGTTGTGTGGAATTTTCAGAGGCATTACTGAAGCAAATATACACAATATTGTATTCTTTATCATGGTCTGCCTTCTTGAATACCTTAGCAGAAAAAGACTAGTACAGTGGAACCCTCGGCTTATGAATGCCCCACCATGCAAATTTTTCAGGATATGAACCGTCGTTCGGTCGATCTTTTGCTTCTAGATGTGAAGGAACTTTCAGGATGCGAACTTCCCCCTTGAGGGAGGTTCCTTAAATAAGTTAATAAATAAAATATTTATTTCTTTGTAAAGGTTACAATATGTGTTTACACATCATAATATGATTGGAGCAAAGAAAGCCACTATCATGCTGAGACATTTCGGCCAGACTTAACTTAATACTAATCAAATCAAATCAAAGTTTATTCTCTATAAGGATTACAATGCCAGGTTTACAGATTTTGGTTATTGTGTGGTTTACATGTAATAAAATACTAATTACAGACAGGTGAAAAGTGTACTAGTAGTGGTTACCAATGTTTTGCTGATGTTGGCACCAACTACTGGCAGCCTTTTGAAGTTTCTCCTTACTGTTATTATTATTATTACTATTATGTTATTATTATTGTTATAATAATGATTATTATTATTATTTATTATTATTAATACTAGAAGTAGTAGTAGTAGTCCATACGTACGTGGTGAGGGGCTCTTGATCTAGGGAATTGGATCTGTGCAGTTAATTTGCCAGATTTCTTTCTTCTAACCATGGGTCCTAAGGAAGCAAGTGCAAAGGACAGTGCCGAGAAGAAAAAGAGGATGATTTTCACGGAATTAAAGCAAGAAATGATTAAAAAGTAAAGACTAGGTACGAGGGTTGAGGACTGGGTGAGTGAGTACAAGCGTAGCCCCTCTACTATATGTACTGATGAGTTTAACGCTTCCCCATGATTATAATAATAATAATAATCTACTATATGTGCAGTACTACAGCAGAAGGGATCTATAAAGGCTATAGCACCAGCAAAGAGCATTACAGTAATTTCTAAGCAGCCGACCTTTGACAATTAAAAGATGGTAAAGTTACTGTTGACATGGTTGATGGAGAAACAGCTCACAGGAGATATGTAGTGTAGGGAGATAAACATAAAAATTGTACGAGGCAGTCCTTAAGAAAAGTGTGAACTCCTGACAGGATGTGCTGCTCTGCATTTCTTTTCCAAGATATGTAAATGTCGTATGTACACCAGATCTAATTCAGTTAGCCTCACAAACTCCGTTTTCTCTTATAACACCTCTGACGTTTTCATAGCTAGAATGTTCGACCACAATCCTCCACCCTCTGCTGTCCACATGACATATTTTAAATTCATTCTAGAGTGTATTTTCAGGTTTCTATCTTTTTTATATTGTTTTATTATGTCATATTAGATGAATTGTGACAGATCAATAAAGGGAGTAGAGTTGATATTAGGGTTTTTTTTTCATGCCTCCTGAGAGCAGGAAATTCAGCTGGAACGAATTAATTGCTTTCAATTAATTTAAATGGGGAAAATTGACCCAGCATACGAACAAATCAGGATACGAACAAGTCCACGGAATGGATTAAATTCGTAAGCCGAAGTTCCACTGTAAATTTACAAGGCAAGAACCTCCCTTATTTAAAACCTTGCTGAGATTTACTGATCAGATTATATATTTCAAGGGGGCTTCAGATTGCATCTGCAGTTACTGATTTTTATCATCTTTCCCATTACAGTGGAACCTCGGTTTTTGTGATTAATCTGTTTTTAAAAAAATCTGACCCAAAACCAATGTACAAAAACTAAAGCAATATTTCACATAAGAAATAGTGTAAATCCAGACACCCAAAAATATTAACAAAATTTACATTTTATAGAGAATAATTATAGTTTTACATACAGAAAATAATGAGAAATATAAATGACTAATGAAATGGGTAAATGAACATTTAGCATCACTCTTACCTTTATTGAAGACTCTTGTTAGCGTATGGAAGACGGTGAGGGCTGAGAGGGAGGAGAGGTTATTGTTTGGAAGGGGAATCTCCTTCCATATGGACTTCAGGTATCAAGGCTCTATCCAGGGTTACTTCCCTTCTTTGTCTTTTACTGGCACTAGGACCAGCTTGAAAGTCACTGTACCCCTGTTGCACAAAAAATCTGTTCAGAGAGGCCTCTTTCTGGCATCTCTTTAAGATTTGTCTAAAATGTTGCAGACACGGCTTGCAACAACTTTGTTAGGGTGACGTTTCTCCACAAAACTTTGCAGCTCACTTCACTGTGGTTGTCCACCAACTCTTCCACATCCTGGCCACTCACATCCAACCCCAGGGACTTCCCCCAAAGACACAATAGATTCCCCAATAAGCGTAGGGTCGTCAGGGTCAGTCTCAAATCCTTCAAAAAACATTCTGGCCACAATTTTCTCCAAGCAGAGTTCATCTTCCTGGAAGTCACTCCCTGCCAAGCCTTATCTCTAAGGCTTATGCATTTGAGGATATTGAAGTGATTCCTCCAGAACTCTCTTAGGGTCAATTCAGTGTCCGAGGTCACTTCAAAGTACCTTTGAAACAGTGCTTTGGTGTAGAGTTTTTTGAAGTTAGAAATGACCTGCTGGTCCATGGGCTGGATGAGACGAGTGGTGTTAGGGGACAAGAACTTCACTGTGATGAAACTAAACTCCTCCAACAATTGGTCTTCCAAGTCTGGAGGATGAGCAGGAGCATTGTCCATTACCAGGAGGCAATTGAGTGGCAATTGATTTTCCAGGAGGTATTTCTTCACACTTGGGCCAAACACTTCATTGATGCACTCAATGAAAATTTGACTCTTGATCCATGCCTTATTGTTAGCCTTCCACATCACACACAATTTACTCTTGATGACATTGTTTTTCTTGAACACTCTGGGATTTTCATAGTGATATACGAGTAAAGGCTTCACGTTGAAATCCCCACTAGCGTTACCACGGAACAAAAGAGTTAGCCTATCTTTCATAGGGTTGTGTCCTGGCAGTTGCCTTTTTCTCCTGCGTGATGTAGGTGTTCTTTGGGATTTTTCTTCCAAATGAGGCCTGTTTCGTCACAATTGAACACTTGTTGGGGAGGAATCCTTCAACCTCTACGTAC